TCAGAAATAACAAATAGCCTTGAACCTGTTTTATTCTTATCTGTTGGTGCTCGTATAATGCTTATTTCTAATCTCTGGACTAATCAAGGGTTAGTTAATGGAGCAATGGGCATGATTGTTGATATTATATATAAATAGGAAGAACACCACCTTTACTACCTACAGTTATTCTGGTTAAAATAGACAATTATATGGGTCCAATGATATCTATATCGAATCATCAAGTAGTGCCTATTCGATCTATTAAATGTACTTGGGAAGGAAAGTCAGGAACTTGCTCCCGCATTCAGTTTCCTTTGTGTCTTGCTTGTCACAAGATTTAACATTACCACAAGTTTTAATAAATCTTGGAAGTAGGAGTTTGCACCCGGTTTTACATTTGTAGGTGTATTAAGGGTTCGTACTCTTGATGATCTTTTTGATAGTGCATTCTCCTTTGACAGGTTACAAAAATTAGGACAACATGCACGTTTACAGCAAAGATTAACAGAAGAACAGAGATTACTTTCTTTATGAATTTATTATAAATTATGAATTTATTATAAATTATGAATATATTATAAATTATGAATTTATTACAAATGTAATTTTATAAATAATAGCCATTAATAAAACTTTAAATACTATTTTTTATAAGTAATAGCAATTCATAAAATTTAAATGCTATTTTTTATAAGTAATAGCAATTTATAAAATTTAAATTTAATTCTAAGACCTAAGAGTTAGAGCTCCAGACCACAAAATGACGCCGTTTTTCTAGTATTTACAAATTAGAGATGTGTGATCGAAGGTGACTATTGTCCATTGACCATTGGCTAGTTGTCCAGTCGGCCAGCCACAAAAAATCAGGTTGACACAAAAATTGGCGTTGATATGGTTGATATGGTATATAATAAGAAGTTGGATAAGAATAATTATTTATATCGATATTTGTCTTTTGTTGAGGATGGTGTGAAAAAGACTTTTCTTTTTGAGGAGCATGTAGTTTCGGAAACTTTTTTTAAAAACCTCATTTACTTCCCTTGCGATTTCTTCGTAGTACTTAATAACATGCTTAGGCTCTTTTTTCCATGAATTAGCTATGGCGGAAGAAATGATTCTCATAGATAAATAATAATTTCTATTATGGAGCTCTTTAATATATTGCATTCTGTAAATAACAAACGCATTCAGTGGTTTTGTGGGAATCTTTTTCCTTTGTTTTGTAATTATTTGTTCTGGATCAATCAAAGGTGGAAAAGGTACCTCAATAACTGGTACTGGAGATGATCTGGATGATTCATCAGTAATTACAAAATGAAATTTATGGTTAGACATTTTGTCTAATAGGTTTATTTAAGAAAATAAATTACGGGAAACTGAGATTTGGGTGAAATGAAAAAAATAAAATTTAATTTTTTTAATTCAAAAGTAGGTGCTTTTAAAATGAATTAGATTTTACCGTCCATAAAAAACTTATAGATAGAAGCAGAAAAAAAAATATCGGGTTGGTGATAGAACAAATACGATAAATAGTTGATTCTTTTATAATTTATGAAGAATAATATTTTTTCATTTGAATTTTTAATTTTTTAAGAGTCTAATCACAATCGGTAATTAATACTATTCAAATTAAGCCAAAATTGGAGAAAAATAAAAATGATAGGTTGAAGGTATATTGGATCCAATAAATATCTAATATTAAATTAAGGATAACGGTTCACATCATTTCATTTATTGTTGCTTGTCAGTATATGAGTGTCGTCAAAAGAGAACGTACCTATTTAAAAATAGATTATTAGGAAAATCATAATAATCTATTGTTAAATGGGTACGTTTTCTTTTGGTGACACTCATATGTGAAAAATATAACAAACAAATAATTGCATTTAAAAATGTCCATTCACTTATATTTATTGTTAACTGAATTTTTAATTCAAAAGCCAATTTAAAAACATCATTTTTTTAATAAACCCGAATAAAGGTGTCAATATATTTTAATATTGGTATTATTACGAATTATTTTTTTGTGCAGCTTTACACAATTTTGGTTAATAACTTAAATTAACATGATTACTAATGTGTACATTTTGGTTTAACAAATTTACATATTCATCTTTGTAATGTTAATTAATATCCAAATTTGGTTAATGCTCATCTTGAGAAAAATCAAATCTTTAAAAATCACTTATTGGGTTTTCAAAGTAAATGAGTGAATTTTTTTATTATGCAGATCAACCTTTCATGATTTTTATTATTTAGATGGCTATGAAAAATTACAAGAAAAATATCTTTACTGCCATCATTGAAATCTAACTACTCGCTCAGTATTAATTTTTCGAGCTTAAAAGTAACATAAAATAGATTAAAAAGCTATGCTTTTTAATTTGTCGTGAGGGTTTTTTTGGTACTTGTAAAAATTTTTTTTTCTAGTACTAATATCTTAAATATTAAAATTTTGACATAAGAGTTACTAGTTATAACGCATTGATTAATGTATTTACTTTTTCAAAATTCTAAATATTCACCGAGGAAATACAATTCTAAGAAAAACATAAAAATTTTGAATATGTCAGGTGCCTTACTAATAACCAGCAAGATATATGTACATACATACTATTTAATTGGTGCAAGTTTCACTGCCACAATTAATAACCATTAAAATAGTAGAAAGTGGCACAGATTAATGAATTTGAACAATACATAATTAAATAGCCAATTACATTACTTAAAATTTTTATTATATTAATCTATATATTAAAAGACTACAAATAGTAGTTTTGATTTAATTAGTTGATCAATCACCCCACTTCATATGATCATTTCGATCATGACGTCATGGGTATAGTTTGTGATCTCGTGACAAATGAATGTCCTGTGACTTCGTCACGTAACTCAAATTGATCAACCTTTTTGATTGGTTAAATTTTAGACAAAAAACTTTAAATTTCGCATTTAACCATATTTAGTTAGTTATTCTTCAAATAGCTCGATTATTTTATTAAATAGTAAAAAAATCTCTTTCTTACGTATCTTACCTTATTAATGAACAAATAAATTTTTTTTATGTTTTAGTTCGAATAAGAAGTGAATTAATATTTAATAGCTAAGTAAAATGTTTTACGTATAAATTTAAATTTTACATCAAAAATGAGTTTTAATAAACCCTTTGTTATTAGCAAAAATGCTAAATCCGCCTCTAAAGGTAGACAGTTTGAATTTGCTATTATTGACGAATTATCAAGAAGAGAGATAAATTGCGTATATATAGGGTGAGTGCTTTTCATTGAGTTATTTGTAGAGTTGTCATGTATCTGAAGTTACGCTGCCACACCTGTGTAAATCATCTGGAAATTGAAAGCGCATCGTGGCCAACTGTTTCGGCAGTTGAACGTTCTTCCCAGTTTCAGGTGTTCTGGAAAAGACACATGCTCTGCTAGAATTTATGGTGAATAGGATACACAAACATAAGTCTGATATTCTCTTATGTTTTTGACGATGATGATACATATACTCATTACTTTTATTATTTTAGTGGCAGTAAAGATGGAGAAGTTGATATTTACGTAAATATTTATGGTACCAAATTTGTAGTTCAGTGTAAAAATTGGATTAAAGAAATAGGTATTTAAGAGGAGTGGCTGATGTTGAGATTTTTGTTGCGATTTGAAACCATAATCATTAAATTCATGTATATATTAATAATTAACTCAGGTATATATCATACTAATAATCAATCCGATAACTCGGATTATATATACGTTTGTAATTTTTCTTTTGTATAATTACAAAAATTTCAGCATCAGCCAAGGAAATCAGTTTATTTAAATATATATATATATATTTATAAACTTATAATTACAGGACCCTCCGTCATTCAATCATTAGATAGAACTCTTACCCAACAACCAAAAGGGACAATTGGTGTTGTGGTTATCCCCGATAATAGTGATTTCACTTTTAGGTGCAAAGAAAGATCTAGAATCTCGGTATATCATATTATTCTCACAAAAAAAAGTAATATTTGCAATGATCTTGAACTCACTGGTCGGAATCTTTTTTTAATTTCTTGTTGTAAATATTTTTTCATTTCTTTTTTTTGTACTAAATTGGTTACCTTATTCGGTTGCATGTATTTGAAATTTTCGCAAGATAATTATTATTTTTTTTAATAGTTCTGTATTCAATGAATAAAATTTTTAATATTATTCTAGAATCCTGCCTATTCTGCATTGTTTAAAAGATTTAATTGTAATGAAAATAAATTTACTATCTTCTTTAATAATTTTAGTTTACTACAAACTGATCAAATATAAAAAGGTAGAGAGCCAAATAGAAGTAGATTTTTTTTATTAAACATACTGTATTCAAAAAAAATATTTTATTATATGATTCCTTAAATATTGATTGAACAAAATAAGTTGACAATTTTCTTCATCTTTTAACCTTTATGGGATTTATCATTCACTACATTCATTTCTATCGATCTTTAATATATAGTGTAAAAGCAATAAACACCACCAATTTAGGTATTATAAATCTATTCACACAATATATGTTATATAAAGATACAGAATGTGGTTTAATTAAAAATCTATCAATCTTTCAGAGGATTTTTTTAATTTAAAAGTTATAACAATTTAAATTTTTTACTAGTAAAAAGTGGATGCGTTTGACTGCAGGGATTGGAACCGTTTACTGTTTAAAATTTGCTACATAATTCCAGGCAGAATTATGTTTGTGGGCCGGAATTATTTTAATGCTGGCTGAATTAAATGGTTAAATGATTAATTAAACATTTAAACGATTAATTAAACGTTTAAACGATTAAGAAAAATTTTAATTGGTTCCAATCTCTAATTAATAAGATAGCTGGATTCTTTTCTTCAAATCTTTATAATTATAGGAATTACAGTCAAACCTCTCTATAATCACTCACTTGGGATACGAAAAAGTATAATGAAGTTTGACAATTACGAGGGTTAAATTTATTATATTTAATAATAGATTAATTATTATAATTATCTTTGTTTGATAACCCTTAAAACCTCGTAAGATACCATCTGGAATCTTCCTGACATATTTAAACTTTCATAATGTGAATCTATAACTATACAAAAATCTGAACCATTCTGAATACACAAATCGGTTCTTTCAAATGACAGACCGTTTGCAGTTCTACAACAAATGGCCATTCCTTCGGATCCTGGTTTAATGTTTACTTTTTTATAGTTACAATGGTGTTTTTTAAATAGAAAACTATCACTAGTTTTTTTCCAAACATTTTCACCTTCCCAATCTAATGGATTATAACCACCTATTAAATCACCATCAAGTAATTTAATAATTACTATTGTGGGCCCTTTTCCATCACAGTTTTTATGAAAGGTTTCTGAATTTAAACCATCACACTTCATATTAAATAAAAGTTCAAAATTGTACCAACAATTATAATATTCTATTCTGCTTATCCATGTGATTAATTTTTTGGCTGTGTCTAAATCTATAATTTCAGATCTGAGGCAAAAATTACCATCTTGAATATCATAGTTATTGTCTTTGAATTTTTCGTAATATTTTTGCACCTCAGAAAGTATATCATTATTTATATTTCTT